TGTGAAAATTAATCCCAATGCACTTCAAAAGTAATACTTTTAATTATACCGTAACGCGCACAATATCCTGACGAATTCAAAACCGTCAAACATCTTCATTATGCCTAATTTTATTATTAATTAATTAATAAAATTTTTCATATGACAGGTATTATAAGAAATAAAAGTATTGCAATATACATATACTTTGTTTGATAGAATAAGATATCTGTACGTTACAAAAAAGATCAGATATTTTAAAAATTTAAAGAAATTGTAATAAAATAAGAATAAAAATAAAATTTTCAAGTGTACAAATTTAATTATTTTTAAAAGTTTTGCCCTATTTTTCCACCTTCTATTTACAGTATTATATGACAAATAATAAAATAATTATATTTTGATATAAATTATTCGTAACAAAACTACAAAACATATGTATGTGTAATGTAATATTATTTGTCATCGTAAACCACGAGAAATTATGAAAATGTTATCTCTCGTTTCAAAAATTCTCTTTTATTTATTACGTCATATAAGTAAATCAATGAAGTTCCATTCGACATTATTTAGCCTGCAATAATTCATCACGAGACCGTTATAATTTTTGATTCAATATTGCGGCAAACTGTGTGCGCGCTAGCAAAGTTCCTTCCGTGCCGCGATGAAACGAAATTACGTGAGTCCTATCGGCTAGTAATTAATTATCGCCCGAGCACATATAGTAACGATAGTAACGAAATTTCACGACTCCCAATAAACGAGAATACCGGGTCAGTAGAAATAAAATTGTTTTAAAGTGATGCAGTGATATATCAAACGATATAGACTTTAAGTGATCAAGACTTTATCTGATCCAGAAATGTGCAGTTATAGTCTCGCATAAAATATATTACTATATAAAGAGCACAGTAATTAGTTTTCTATATATAGAAACAGTTATTTAGATATAATTATCAACTGAGCTAATAAAGAAAAAACTTTTTTTTAAATAAATAAATTTTAATTGTTTTATTCAATTTGTATATAATTTGTATAAATAGATATATAGCAATAAATGTAACAATAATATAGCAAGAAAAGGTCTCGATAAATTTATATAAACTGTTGAAAAAAAAGCTATTTCAAATGCATTTATTTAGAATAATTAATGAGTGTAATAAAGCTTAGAAATGTGGAAAAATGCAAATTATACAAGAAGAAAATTACTGAATACTAATTACTACATATTCACAAACTCATAATCAGCATTTTTATAAAAAAGCTTTTTAAATTAATATCAGAATTGATATCTGATTATGACGATTTAACGTTTAAGTTTCAATTATAGCTTCCGAAATTGCTCCTCACTCCAAGAATAAATACAAGTAGATTTTTATATATTTCGGATCTAATTACAAAGCTCTTTATATTTTCAATTTGATTTCTCCGCTTTTAATCAAGAAAAAAATTAAATTAAATTTTGTACTGTTCTGTCTGTGTCACGAAAATGCATTGGCATTTAATATTCGCGTTAGAAAGACTTATTAAAAAAATAATAGCAGCAGAAAAAATATTTCAAAATTATTCAACGCTTCAAAATGAATGACTATGACCATTAAAGTTGCGGAAAACGCATAAGTTGTAAGATTGCAAATGTAAAATTTAATCGATGAAACAGCGTTTTGATTGCTTCTGTATTGTATTTGCATACACCATGTATTGCTATGTAATTAATATTTTACACACGCGCAGTATATAATTTGTAAAAAATAATGAAAAAGATATTTGCAGCAAATTCTATGTCAACAGCAACTTATTATTAATTACTGATTAAGAGACACGTACGTGTCATATATAATAAGTATTATATTCACGAATTCTATTTTAATTAAATATTTCATAAATATTACCTTTTTTCCTCCCCTCTTTCATTCCTCTCTCTCTTTCTCTCGTGAATTAAAATAAAATTAAATCATGAATGATGCAATATTTTTTAAATCAAAAGCACATATGCAATGGAAAGCAAACAATTAATATGGAAAATTTTTAAGAGTGATTAAAAAATATATATTCTAAAAATAATATAAATTTCTTTCATAAATTAAAATATTGTAATAAGATAACATATAATTAGACCGTTCAGAGAAAAATGGCGGCATTACAAAGATTAAATCGTTTAGTTGCATTACCCGATTACGCCTGCATAATCGATATTACGTTGTGATTCTATAAAAGCTAAACTTTATAATTAGCAAATGTCACTCGTGTATCAAGATGAACCTTTAATATTCGCGTTGCAACGCGGTATTCTTAGAGCGTCGATTAAACTCACTCGATTTAGTTGTTCTTCCAATATTACGCATATTCATTTGCATATAAAAAGCTTTCTATATGTAAGATTATTTTACTTTATAAGCCATTAAAAAAATTAATGATCTAAAAATTCTATATTCGTATTTTGAAAACAATATGAGCTTAAAAATAAATCTATTATTAATATATGTACATATGTATATGTATACCCAAAGAAATAGAAAAACTTTAAATAACTGCGATTTTAAAATAAACTTGTCCATTATACAAACAAAAAAATTCTTTATATTGTAAATATTTTTACTTTATAGAGTATAAACTTAATTTTACTTTAACAAAATTATTTATTCTGTTAACTTGATAAATAAGGTTATATGTGTATGTAATGATTAATAAAAATAGAATTATTAAAAATAATAAAACTATAATGTTTAATATAATATTTAATATAATTTGTGAATTTTAAATAATATAACAGCTTCACTCAGACGATAATTACATTAAGTAAATTTTCCAAGATGTTACATACGATTATGTTATGTACGGTGTCTAACTCTATGAATATGTTATTCAACGAGTGAAATTATAATTTTGCGTAGAAACGCATTCGGGAATTAAATCATCAGCGATCTCCATATCATCGAAATGAAACCATAAACCGAATATGCGAAGCATTTCAAACTCAACCAGTGACAATAAACTCAATTTTGCCTGTATTACTCGTTCTATATTGCGAATTTTAGAGAAACAACCCCATTAAAACTTGAACTCAAACTGAATGAAATATATTAAACTATAACTTGATATAAATCTGAACTAGTAAAAGAAAAAATTTTTCAAAAAAGTAGATAGAGAAATATAGCTTTTTTTATACTGGATCAAAAAATTAATAACTTTTTTGTAAAATGTATCGATATTGCTAATATTATAATATCTAAATATGACTTTACTCTGTAACATTTTCTATGCGTTTCCATATCGAAAAATATTGTGATACATATAGAAATAAAAGAATATTACATAAAATAAGATGCAATTATGCCCGGAAGAGGAATTAGATTAAAGGAGAAAGGCTACAATTTGTACAACTCGCTGAATTGATTCGTATAATTTTATTGTTACGAGAAAAGAAGCACACGTCCGCGCAAAGCACCGGAAAACTGAAACTTTTCTCAATACGCAAATTCTTGTCATCACGAATTGTTTCGATTGCGAATGCGATATACGATCGTTCCATTTTTCACACATATATTCGCCGTTTTTCAGTGACCTGATTCCCAATTGACTATCAAAAAAAGAAAAAAAAATTGTCTGGCTCACGGTTCGCATGAAGCTATAAAGTGGTTTAGTTCGGCAATACATCTTCCCTAAAAAAAATAATAATTTTTGAAAAACTATTCACTACTCAGTAAACACGCAGGGATCATTTACGTCTTACGTAATAATTACATAATGTTTTATATGTATATATTACAGATCATCATAACGAAACTGTGACGTATCGTTTATGTCAATAACGTAATGAATCTATAATTGTTACATAGAATTGTTATATAATTTTAACGTTACTTTGTTATGTAACATTTATGAAATTTGGTGAATGTAAATGTGCATTCTCTAAAAGTTTCGTAAATGCTACGTAGGAAAGTTTAAAGTTGATGAAATTGACGGTAACATCTGTGTTAATATAGAATTAAATTTCTTATGTTGGGATCATGTCACAAAGAATAATGAGATTATTCTTTGTGACATGATCTCAACATAAGAAAATTCAATTCAGATATTGAAGTATTAAAGTGATTCCTCAGAAATCAGATAAATAAATATCCGACGAGACTGAGTGAAAATATCTTCATTATATTATTTACTTTCTGTGAAAAAAAACAACTTTTTTCACGAATAAAATAAAAATTTTTTAATATAACATTATCTTAAACTCTAAAACGCTTTCCTTAATATTTTTCGAATAGATAATCAGTAAAAACGTTTCCGAGAGCTGCTTATTATGAAACATTTCTAAAACAAATATGTGCTATCTTTTATAAAAAAATTACATAATGGTTATCATAGAGAGATTCTGTATTAGTTACGTAATTATATTTATAAAATTTTATGTATCTGTTAGGTTTAAATTTTATGTATTTATTACATATCATATCAGGCATAATGTTGCTGACAATTCCATCTAGTTACTTAATAGTTGACATATCGGTTACCTGAACAGAGAATATCTTATCTGTAAATGTTCTGTAAATGTTCTGTAAATGTTCTGTAAATGTTATGTAAATGTTACAAATAATATTTAATATAGATTCTGTAATAGTTACGTAATTTTATATCCAATTTTATGTATCTATTACGTTTAAATTTTATGTATCTATTACATATCATATACAGGCATAATGTTGCTGACATTTCCATCTAAATGTTACTTAATAGTTGACATAACGGTTACCAGAACCGCGAACAACTGTTTTGTAAATGGTCTGTAAAAGTTACAGAACAGTGTTTATTGGGTATGTATTTACTGAAAAAAGGCAAATATATATTTTTGCAAATTAATATAATTTTATTAATATCTTTGTTATTTAACGATATTTAACGTATAAAATATCTAACAAATTAATTTTTTAAAATTATTTTATATTATTATCTGATTTGCGCATGTTTTAATATTATTATTAAAATCGTCATTGTTTTTACTCAAATATTTCTTAATTTTCTAGCTTGCAATGTATGGAGCGACGTGACGCCACGAAAATATCGGCCACCGCGAATCGGTGACATTCCAAAGTAAGTAACTTATTTATTCTTTCAATATAGATATACAGTTAAGTCACTAAAAATAAATAATTAAAAAAGCTATCAATTCTTAATAAATAATTTTTATAAAGAAAAGTTTTAAATTTAAAAATTGCGATATATTGTGCAATTTCTGATCATGCAATCATGATATTTTAATATTTCTCAAGAAAATTTAAAAATATCTATATTTTAACATATCACAACAATTTATATAATATTGCAATAGCTTAAAAATGATAGATGATATATATGCGATCGTTGCAATAATAAAAAGAAGATTCTTTTTATTCCTTTATAAATATTTGAAGACTTGGTTGACATAAAGAATTATTATTGTTGACTTAATTGTATATCACTCAATTATTTTAAATCACGATGAAACTCATATCATGATAAAAAAAATGCATTTACGTCACATAATATTATATTTATCGATTATGCAACTATTTCTGTGTACAGTACACACTGTTTTGCAACATTTATCACGAATAATATCGTTAATCGGTTCGCTTAACTACCTAAAAAAAGTGCCTCTGTTTCTAGAACAGGATAATACGCCACATGACGGTGCACTTGCTGATGCAAATACGCGATATAAATGCAGATGTATTTAAGCGAGTATACATCCACAGATGTATGAATAATACGATGACAGAAGAGAAGATGAACTATACAGTTTCCGCTTTTATGGAACGATAACGTGATGCATGTTCCGGAAGACGCCCGCGATTCCGAATGGTCTTCGGAGAAATATATAGATGCATGTCGGACAATAGTTTCAATTAATGTCCTCGTTGATTAAAATGTCCCAAGTGCATATTAATCCGTGCCTAGCCCAGTTTCGATATAAATGCACTATAGGTTAAAAATTTTCGTTTCCAACAAATTTTGAAAAGTCAGATTGTTATTAATAATATTTTCATTTTTGAGATAATAGGTTCACTGTTAATCAAATCCACCGAGAGGAAAAGTACTAAATTTTGCAAAGCAAATAAACGAATAACATTTTACGAGTAATTTATGTATCACACATAAATAAAAGACAGAATTCAAACGAATTAAACGTCGATAAATCTTATGCAATAATGCACAGCGGAAGATGAATCATTACAACGATAACTCCTTCCGAGACACTAAGTTTTTACAATTGAGGCAAACACTAAATGTCTCATTTTCGAGGATAAACCGCCCATTGATTAAATCCGACCTTCGACACTATCGTCCTAAATGAGAAACGAAGGAAGGAAAAAGGAAGTTCAAGGAGGACGGCCTAAACTGCCATAATGCATCACGGCATGCGAATAGATATTTTTAACCGCACAGTCGAAGCCGATCGATATGTACCAAGACGGTAGAGGTTTGTGTCTAAATAATTGCACCTTTGCCCTCACCAACGTCAAAGGCAGAAGGCAGAAGTCACACCGAGTTCTTTGACATCGTCTTCGCATTCAAGATTCAATATTCGTTTTCTTTCGTCAAACAAATTTTATAATTGACAATTCGACGTGTCTCAAGCGAGACAAAAATTTCGAAAATTCGCGAGCATCGCGATATACAATATATCAGAAGTGGAATATCATGGAAGAAGAATCGTTGTTTTAGTAAATAAAGGTTTTAATACGAAAAAATTGAAATTAACGAACATAATTGTTTATTCAATAAACATTTATTTCTGAAGCTAATGATGATATTAAAATCTCGCTATTGCAATATTTACGAAAGCTATGAAAAGAAACCTAAGCGCTGAAAAATTACGAGAGACGGACAACGCAAGATATTTTAAACTCCAGTCGATCGATGGCCAGGCCATTACTGCTTAAATTATTGAATCTCGCGAGACTAACCGATACGCGAGAGTGGCGATGCGAGCACGATGGTAATTGACTAACTTTTTCGAAAGGTCGCCTCATATTTTTTCTCATTTTTTTTCTCTTTTTTTTATTACTTGCCATTCCTACGACGGAATCACATTTATTTTACTACGACATTGAAAAATGCTGGGCTGTGTTTAACAAAGACTCTATGCGTGCAATCTGTTTCAATTCCAAAAAATATTTCTACTGTATAAAGTAGAACGATCACAAAACCTCGAATAATTGTGTTGAATTTCATCGATAGAAGTTGTATAATCATTTTTTTTATTAATAAACACAAATAAGTTTGTCTATATTCAATGAATGTAAAATTTTGAGACACGTCTTCGTCTGTACTGCATATTATACAGCATTATATAAAATATGTAAATTATTTGCACACTAAATTCCAACTTAATATTTTTGAGAGAGAAAGAGAGATTCAAATTCTCTTATTTGTTATAAAGAAATTAAAGCACCAATTACAAGAAATAAACATCGTAAATGACGATACATTTCTGCTAGAATACTGATCGTAATATCTCAGCAGGTCGGTGCAACATTATTGACACTCCATTTTCCCACGAGAATCGTATAATATAACAGGATATCGTAAAATTCATGATTACGTCACTACTATCTCGATATAACAATTCTATTATAAAAGCTATTATCATTTTTAAGACACATAAAAGCACGATGTTCTTCCATATATGGGGAATAATAAAATTTCCTAATTTAAAAAGACTCACATCACGAAAAATTTGTTTATATGTATATTTACAGGACTCTGTGAAGTTGGCACGGCTTTTTTCGATTTTCAAAAAAAACATATGAGTTCTAGTAGCACTTTTAAGAGTTCTAGAGTTCCTGATAGGTTTCGCAAATAGTTCTGTCAATTTAAGGTCAAAAAACGAATTTTTTAAAAATGTCGTGCTAACTTCCCGTAGCACGACACTTATGCAAAAAAAATTTTTTATTCATGTATTTCGATAGATTTCGACGAGATCTAGAGTTCCTGATAGATTTTAACAATAGTTCCGGCGAACTATGCATTCTACGAGTTAAAAAACAAAATTTAAACGATATTTGTAAAAATTTTATCTTGTTGTGCTAATAGAAATATTCATTTCTCACGGCGCAATTTGCGAGCTCTAGGATAGTTCTGACCTCCAAAATAATGTTCGACAATAGTTCTGTCGATTAACCATAATTAACTTAATTAATTAATAAGCTATTATAGCACGACATCGCGGAAGAGTGTCGTGCTGGTAGAAATATCTATTTCTCTGGGCGCATTTTACGAGTTCTAGGATAGTTCTGACCTCCAAAATAATTTTTGATAATAGTTCTGTCGATTAACAGTAAATAACTTAAATAATTAATAAGATAATTATAGCACGACACTCGAGCAAAGAGTGTCGTGCTGAGTATATATCGCAGTTCTAGGGGGAGTTTTGGCTAGTTCTCGTAGAGTTCTATGCTCTGCAATTATTTTTAAAAATAGTTCCGGCGATTAAACATTTTTTAATAATTTTTAAAATTTTTTAATGTCCGATTTCAGCACGACACTCGAGCAAAGGGTGTCGTGCTGAATATATATCGCAGTTCTAGGAAGAGTTTTGGCTAGTTCTCGTAGAGTTCTATGCTCTGCAATTATTTTTAAAAATAGTTCCGGCGATTAAACATTTTTTAATAATTTTTAAAATTTTTAATGTCCGATTTCAGCACGACACTCGAGCAAAGGGTGTCGTGCTGAGTATATATCGCAGTTCTAGGGGGAGTTTTGGCTAGTTCTCGTAGAGTTCTATGCTCTGCAATTATTTTTAAAAATAGTTCCGGCGATTAAACATTTTTTAATAATTTTAAAAATTTGTTAATGTCCGATTTCAGCACGACACTCGAGCAAAGGGTGTCGTGCTGAGTATATATCGCAGTTCTAGGGGGAGTTTTGGCTAGTTCTCGTAGAGTTCTATGCTCTGCAATTATTTTTAAAAATAGTTCCGGCGATTAAACATTTTTTAATAATTTTTAAAATTTTTTAATGTCCGATTTCAGCACGACACTCGAGCAAAGGGTGTCGTGCTGAGTATATATCGCAGTTCTAGGGGGAGTTTTGGCTAGTTCTCGTAGAGTTCTATGCTCTGCAATTATTTTTAAAAATAGTTCCGGCGAGTAAACATTTTTTAATAATTTTAAAAATTTTTTAATGTCCGATTTCAGCACGACACTCGAGCAAAGGGTGTCGTGCTGAGTATATATCGCAGTTCTAGGGGGAGTTTTGGCTAGTTCTCGTAGAGTTCTATGCTTTGCAATTATTTTTAAAAATAGTTCCGGCGAGTAAACATTTTTAATAATTTTTAAAATTTTTTAATGTCCGATTTCAGCACGACACTCGAGCAATAGTATAGTTATCGAGTGTCGTGCTGAAATCGGACATTAAAAAATTTTAAAAATTATTAAAAAATGTTTACTCCCGGAACTATTATTGAAAATAATTGCAGAGCATAGAACACTACGAGAACTAGCCAAAACTTTCCCTAGAACTGCGATATATACTCAGCACGACACCCTTTGCTCGAGTGTCGTGCTAAAATCGGACATTAAAAAATTTTAAAAATTATTAAAAAATGTTTAATCGCCGGAACTATTATTAATAATAATTGCAGAGCATAGAACTCTACGAGAACTAGCCAAAACTCCCCCTAGAACTGCGATATATACTCAGCACGACACCCTTTGCTCGAGTGTCGTGCTGAAATCGGACATTAAAAAATTTTAAAAATTATTAAAAAATGTTTACTCGCCGGAACTATTTTTAAAAATAATTGCAGAGCATAGAACTCTACGAGAACTAGCCAAAACTCTTCCTAGAACTGCGATATATACTCAGCACGACACCCTTTGCTCGAGTGTCGTGCTGAAATCGGACATTAAAAAATTTTAAAAATTATTAAAAAATGTTTAATCGCCGGAACTATTATTAATAATAATTGCAGAGCATAAAACTCTACGAGAACTAGCCAAAACTCTTCCTAGAACTGCGATATATACTCAGCACGACACCCTTTGCTCGAGTGACGTGCTGAAATCGGACATTAAAAAATTTTAAAAATTATTAAAAAATGTTTACTC